CCTCAGGGCAGGCAGCACCTTGTGCCTCATGCATTGATATCATTGAGAACAACACAGTGTGGGCCTCATAGTTTGTCCTTACAGAACTGACATAAGTCTGCATAGCACAAGAAGCCACACCGCACAAACAAATTTCTCCCCAACCCCAATCTGCTGGCAAATTCACTTTTCAGCCAATACCATTGTATACAATTTATCTCTTTTCTCACAGACAATTTGTATGTGTAGAAGTTGATGAAAACATTTAGAGTCACTCCTGTCCTTTGAAGCCCCCATTCTGTTTCATTTCCACTTTGTAAAATATGTCTAATTCTTGCAGATTCGAAAGTGGACACATGAGGGCAGCAAAACAACAACATGAAATGTAACAAAAGCAGAAGCTGCTGGAAAAGCTCAGCAGGTCTGGCAGCATCTGTGAAGAAAAAAATCAGAGTTAACATTTCGGGTCCGGTGACCCTTCCTCAGAACATGAAATGTAATACAGGTAGTCCCCAGGTTGCGAACAGGCTTCGTTCATGAGTCATTTGCCGGTCGATTTGTGCACAACCCAGGGTGCAATGGAGCACAATATAAACCAGCCATTTGTAGTATAGGAAATGTTTGCATGTCAGCTATTTAAAATTACACCTCTGTATGAGATACTGTATAAGTATGCATATTCATGAATTGGAGCCCCCCAAGCATTCCCACTTTCTGCCACTCCAAGAAATTTCATCTCACTCTTATCCTTCGTTTTCTACTTTCTAATCTTATTCAATGTCATTCTTCTATAGATTTCATAAGCCCTGATCTTTTTCATGGGGCTCTCATGTGAGAACTTGTAAAGTTGAAAAATCACAAATATTCACTGTTGCTGGGGTCAGAATCCCAGAATTCCCTCCCTAACGGCATTGTGGGTCAACCTACAGAACATGGACTGTAGTGGTTCAAGGAGGCAGCTCACCACCGCTTTCTCGAGCACAACTAGGGAAGGGTGATAAATGTTGGCCCAGCAAGTGATGCCCATATCCAATAAATGACTTTTCTTTAAAAAATGTTCTCCTGTTCGAGTACCACGCAGAAATTGAATTGTAGAGTTACACAGCAGGATTAAAGGGTGTTCAGTCTGTTATCCTTGTGCTGATTGATAATAAAGCAGTCCTGCCTATTCCTATACAAATGCATTTTCATCCGTGACTGTGTAAGTTCATCCCCAGCTATCTATCCAACTCATTTATAAAAATTAATTTCAGAACCAGTTTCAATCACTTTTCCACCAATTCCAATCCCAGAAACTGAGAGTGTTAGGTTTTCTTCTATTTGCCTTGTTTATGAATCTATGACTAAATTATTGACCCACTCACAAAAATAAGTTTTGTTTTTCAAAGTCATCCCTTATTATTCTCTCTTTCAAGCAGAACATTTCTAACTATTCATAATCTTCACCCTTAATAACATCCTCCACTGTAACTTTCTGATTTTACACCTCACCTGAATTGTGATACCCAAAATTATCCAGGCTACTCCAGTTCAGGCCTAACCACTGATTTGTGAAGTTATGAATATACAAAGGAAAAAGAAAGGAAGCCAGTCAGCCCCTTGAGGCTGTTCTGCCACTCAATAAATTTGTGCTTGATCTGATAGAAACCTCAATTCCTCATTCTGACCTAGCCCGATAACCCTTCATCCCCTTGCTTAATGAGAATCTATTCACTCTCCACCTTGAAAATATTCAAGAACTCTGTTACCACAGCCTTTTCAGGAAAATTCCTGATGTGGAGGTGCCGGTGTTGGACTGGAGTGACAAGATCAGAAGTCAGACAACACCAGGTTATAGTCCAACAGGTTTAGTTGAAATCACAAGCTTTTGGTGTGTAGCCCCTTTGTCAAGTGAAGTGAGAGAGAAGCACACAGACACAAAATTTATTGGCAGAGAGATCAATGGGCAGAGAGATCAAAAGATCATACAAATGGTGTGAATGGAGTGTCGACAGGCCAAATAATAGTCTCTGCAGGAGATCAAGCGTGTCAGACAGTTTGAGTAAATGTGTCAACAGGTGAATAACAATTGAAGGGATGACCTATAATCCCCAACAACCTCTGGCTCCATGAATAAATTTTCTCCTTTGTCCTTTCCCTAGCTACTCTCTTGCACCTAATATACACATAAAATTCTTTAGAAATCCTACTTGTCAAAGCAATTTCATAGTCCTCTTATATCCCTCCTAATTAGTTGTTTAAGTTCATTCCTGCTTCCTTTAAATTCCTCAAGAGCCATATCTGATTTCAGTCTGATTTCATGCCTGATTTCAGTTTCTTAAATGTTATATTTGATTCCTTCTTCTTTCTGAATAAACTTTCAATATCTCTTGTCATCCTTGACTCTTTCCTTCCTTATCTTTCATCCTCACAGGAACATGCTGGTCCTGACCTCTGATCAACTGGCCTTTAAAAGGTTCCCACATGTCAGATGTGAATTTAGCCTCAAACAGTCAGCCCTAACCTAATTTTTCCAATTCCTGCCTAATACAGTTTATTTATCCTTCCTCTAATTTAGCACTTTCACCTGAGGACCAGTCTTATTCTTAGCTATAACTATCTTAAATCTTACTAAAGTATGATCACTGTTCCTAAAATGAACGCCCACTGAAACTCAGATCACCTGGCCAGGTTCATTCACCAATATGAGATCTTTATAGCCTCTTCCCCAGCTGAACTATCTACATATTGTTTCAAAAAGCCCTCCCAGATGCACCTAACAAATTCTGCCCCATTTAAGCCCCCGGTATTAAGAGAGCTCCAGTCAATATTAGGGAAGTTAAAATCACCAACTACAATAAACCTGTTTTTTTTTCATAATCTACTTAAATATCTGTTCTTCTATATCCTGCTGGCTATAGGGAGGCCTATAATATTACCCCATCATCATGACTGAACCTTTCTCCTTCCTGAATTCTACCCATGTTGCCTTGCTAGATGACTCTGGAACATCTAAACCCTGGAATATTGAACTGCCCTTCTCTCAACCAAGTTTCTATGGTTACATCATAGTTTCAAATATTCTTCCAGGCTCTCAGCTCATCTACCTTACCTGTTCCATTCCTTGCTTTAAAATAAATAAATACACCTCAGACCACCAGTCTCCATTAACCCAGGCCTGCCTGTTCTTCCCTTTGGACTTATTTGGCCTCTTCAATCATTCCACATGCTAACTACTGCTCTGGCTCCCAGCTAGTGCCATGCTAATTTAATTCAAATTCCACCATCTGCTGTGGCAAGGGTTTGAACCCAGATCTCTGGTCAATTACATGGGTCTCTGGATTAACAGTCCAGCAGTCATACCACTAGGCCATCACCTCATCAGTGGCTGTGGCTATACTATTCCTTTATTCCTCCAAACACCCCCATTTTAAATGGTGTTCGACTGAGAAAAAGAGTCGCTTTTCAAACCAGCAAATTCAGCTGATTTGTAATTCTGTAGAATGACTCCATTCTCAGTCCAATCCAAGTTCCAAACATAAAGTCATAGAAACCTACAGCACAGAGGCAGACCCTTTGGTACAAGCAGTCCATGCCAAACATAGTCCCAAAGTAAACTAGTCCCACCTGCCTGCTCCTGGCCCATATCCCTCCAAACCTTTCCTATTCAGCATCTTTTAAATGTTGTAATTGTGCCCACATTCACAACATCTTAAAAGTTCATTCCATGAGCAAACCACCCTCTGTGTAAATATTTTGCCCCCATGTCATTTTTAAATCTCTCTCCTCTCACCTTAAAAATATGCCCCCTAGTCTTGAAATCCCCCATTCTAGGGAAAAAAAACACTTACCATTAACCTACCTATACTCCTCATGACCTTATAAACCTCTCAACCTCATTTGCTCCCAGCCTATCCAGCTTTTCTTTACAACTCAAACCTTCCATACCCAGCAACATCCTGGTAAATCTCTTCTGAACCCTCTCCAACTTAATAATATCCTTCCTGTAACTGGGCAACCAGAACTGGACACAGTACTCCAGAAGAGACCAATGTCCTGTACAACCTCAGTTTGACTCTCCAACTCCTGTACTCATACAATAGATTGTAAACAGAGAAGTGCTTTTCTCTTGAGTAAAGGAGTACAGTTTGATGGAAAAGCATTGGAAATCTGGATTACATTATTTATAAATTGTATTCCGGGGTAACAAAAACCTGCGTATGTACTTTTTATATTTTGTGGTGCCTATTAAAAAGCACAAGAACCAGGGAACAGCAGCTTTAATGAAGAAAGCGCATGTTGCTGGTTTGGAAGTTGAAGGACAGAGAGCTGTATTCTATATTTTATTAGTCCCCACCTGTAGATTATGAACACATGGTAATCCTTGTAAAAAAATAGGCAGGTGGACATCAAAAGCACCCTTGCCATTAATATTCTTAGGAAGATTTTCTTTGGAGGGGAAAGTATGTTGTATCAATGAAAAGCTTTGATACTTTCTGATTTTTATGATTTAGCGAATCTTATTAATATCACGTACTGCCAAGTGCAGAATTTACGATGTTTACGTATTTCACCATTTCTTCCTTTAGGCAATTATCCATGAATTTTGAAAAGAGCATTGATGACGGAGCTAGCTGCAGTTCAATGTCTGTAAATTGCTCAAATACTTCTTTCATATGCCTTCTTGTGTGGTGCAGAAATAACCTGCAAAGTTTCAAAGTAAACAAAATTAATTTTAAACTGGCAAGGAAGTAACAAAAATGTGGAAGATGAGAAAGAAATCTTCAAACAGCATTTCCTTTTGGTTGGAGCAAGATTCTCAATATCTAACAAAGCAGTATCATGGACTCAAACATCAGCAGAAAATGGCACAAATATACAGCAACTCATAAATTTCATCAGAGTTCAACCAGTCTCTCACTATAGCTCCAGCAGGCCACAGCAAGAGAAAGCCCATGAAATCTTGTGACCCACATGCCAACCTCAACTTAAATTAGCTTAATGAAGTAATTGACAATGTTCACCTTTGTTTCCTTTTGCAGACTCCTCACATGAATGTGAAAAGAATTAAATATCTTCAACGTCATGTAGTGATTATCCTCCATGGAGGCAGGAGACCAGTGATGGTGAGGCCAAGATAAAATACCTAGCAATGGACGCTTCTGAGCTATGTCTAATCTCAGAAACATTAACTGACAAATCTGTGGTGTTCCATCATACCATTATTGATCACTGGGACTAACTCACTGGTACATCTTCCACAACCAAGGCCAAACAATAGCTTTCAATTATAGTGTCTTAAATGTAGTTAAACATCCCACAGAACTTTGCAAGAATTTTGACTGACGACAGATAACATTAGGTAAAAGAAGGAGGTTTTACAAGAGATGACAGAGATAGGTGTTGGGATGTATCTTAAAGGGAAGGGGGAGAGAAAGAGGAGCAAGAGCTTTTATGAAAGATTGCACTGAGCAAGATCTAGATGGCCAAATGTACAGTCACCAATGGTGCAGCAAAGAAAATGAAGGCCCACACAAGAGACTGGAACTGGAGTAATGCAGTGTTCTTGGAGGATCACAGACTTTAATGAATTTACAGAGTTAAACAGTGAAGGGATTTAAGACTGGAGGATGGGAGGTAGGTGACATGAGCATTGAAATACTCAAGATTGGAGGTGTCTAAAACATAGATGAGGATTTTTGCTGCAGATGTGCTGAAAAACCTATTGAAAATGGGATGTTACAGAAGTGCAAGTTGGCAGCCTATGAATGGAGTTGCTAATGAATTTGACACTTGTCTTTTCAGTGAAGGAGGCAAAGAAAATGGTTTTGGTTTTACCATTGTTGATGGGGAGGGGTGGTGATGGGATGGTGGGAGGCAGAGCTGCAGTTCATCCATGTTTGTATATCATTACCATACATGTAAAAACCGACATGGGTTGGTGACCAGTGGCTCAGAGACTAGCACTACTGCCTCACTGCACCAGAGACCTGAGTTTGATTCCACCCTCAGGTAACCGTATGGAGTTTGCGCATTCTCCCCGTGTCTGTGTGGGTTTCCTCTGTGTGCTCTCGTTTCCTCCCACAATCTAAAGATGGGCAGGTTAGGTGGATTGGCCAGGCTAAATTGCCCGTAGTGTCCAGGGATGTGTAGGCTAGGTAGATAGCTACGGGAAATACAGGGATAGGGTAGGGGATGGGTCTGGGTGGGATGGTCTTTGGACAGTCAGTGTGGACTTGATGGGCCAAATAGCCTGCTTCCACATTGTAGGGATTCTTAAGGGAAAAAAAAATGTCTGCTGATGTACACTATGGTTCAGCAGTAGAATAGTCACCATTGAATATAAAACGTTTCTGTTCAAGTCCCACTCTAGATTTAGATTTTAGATTTTATAGTCATGTACTAAGTATAGGTATACATGAGTACAGTGAAAAGTGCACACAGTCGCCAATTCCTAGCACCATCTCAGTTACAGAAACCAGAATCAAATATTTAACAGAGTCAAAAGGTAAAGAAAAAAGGGTCCAGATCTCAAAAGCCAAAGTTCCATCTCCATAAATGTGCCTGGAAACACTCAGGCATGGTGCAGGCACCTGGGCCCAGCTACAGCCTGGAGTCTAGGCCAGCCCATGAGTCCTGCCTGGAGGAGGCGTGCCACTGCTGATGCCAACACTACCAATGCCAGAGCACCCAGGAGGGGAGAAAGGCCCACTCTCACTGCTGAATTGATCAACAATCGTCAGGAATTGGGGCCCAGGAGGAACCAAGACCACCACCACCTCAACGGCTTGCTTTCGCCACCAAACCGGCCGATCCACCGCCGACTCCAGCGTGTGCTCAATCTGCCACCATCCTCCGGCCCGTGCTCGATCTGCTGCCGTCACTCTGGCCTGCGCTCAATCTGATGCTGTCAATTCTGGCCCGCACTCAATCTGCCGCCATCACTCTGGCCTGCGCTCGATCTGCAGTATCAAAGCCATCTTATGTTAACCTAACACTTTGTCTGTCGTCTCAGGTAAATAAATTATTTTGAAGAAGAGCAGAACATCGCTCCTGGGTGTGACTATCCAGTCACCCTCACATTGGATCTTGTTGCACGGATGCTGGCTCTCGCTTTTCAAGCGTAGAGCAGTAATTACACTTCAGAAGTATTTCAGGCTGTCCTGAGATTGAGAAAGACCCTGAGTTTCCCCGGCATGCAGTTTTCTTCCCAGATAAGAGGTATGTGGTTGTGCAGCTGTGCTAATGGTATATCTTTGCCGTGTTTCAGAATTTCCTTGGATTCCATTTGTTCCAGGGATTTCCAGAGATCGATCATGGAGATCCAGTATGTAAATGATGCTTGTGTGTCCACTCACTGAAAGAAGAGCTTCAGGTCATTGTGGAAACCTTTTCCAAAGTAAGAAAATGGAATTTTCAGAAAACATCTTCAGAACTAAAGGCCTTCCTATCAACCAGCTCCTGCAGCAAAACACTTCCGTTCCATTCATTAAGATCAACAGCAGAATCCTGAAAAGTGTGAACAATTTTCTGTTCCTTGGGAGAGTCTTCTCAGTGAAAGCGTCCATAGATGACAAAGGTCGTTATTGTCTCCACTGAATCATCTCAGCCTTCAACAAGTGAGGAAAAGGCTGTTTGAGGACCAGGATCTCAAACACCAGGCTAAGATCAAAAACAAAGTTGTTGGAAAAGCTCAGAAGATCTGGCAGCATCTGTGAAGAAAAGAACCAGAGTTAACGCTTCGGGTCTGGTGACTCTTCCTCAGAACTGGCTATGATCATAGTTTATAGAGCAACAGCGATCCCAGATCTCCTCTATATCAAAGAGACATGGATCACTGACTGTAGGTAGTTCCAATCAATGAAGAAAGACCAGCACCATTGCTTTTGCAAGGTCCTCCAAATTCTGGTGACACAAAAAGCAGTCCAATAGCAGAGGAGTCAACTTTCAGATCAGTGAGGCACTATTCACTCAAAACCAGCTCCACTGGGAGGTTTAGGTTGTTCACATGCCCGATACCAGATACTCGAAGTAACTGCTCTACTTCGTACTCAATTGTGACAAAGTAACTCCCAGGAGGACAGCGGAATTGATTTAGAGTCCTTAAAGCATCCCTGAAGAGGTCAAACATTCCCATCAACTCATGGGAGCCCCTGACATATGGCCAAACAAAATGGTGCTTGCTGATATAGGAAGGCACTGAACACATCGAGAGGCAACATCAGGAACATGCGAGGCAAGTTTGAGGAATCGGAGGGAGTTCACAAACCTCCGAGCAATGTTTCTACTCAACACTTTAAGCACCACATGTGGCAAAGTCTGCAGGTCGCACATTGGACTTAACAGCCATTTCAGATGTATCACATTGGAATGTAAGTATTCTCAATTCAGAGGAACTGCCTATGAGAAGGAGTAAAGAAAATCAAAAAACAGCACATACAGGTTACATTTTCAGAGCTGTTCCAGATTGCTCTGCTTTTTAGATTTGATGTATAAATTCTTTTTATTAATGTTCTTTAGCTGTCCTCTTCAATGCCATTCTTTTTGTAGAAGAAACATTTCTGGGAATTCATCACGACAACATTGAGTTTTATTACTTAATGTTCCTCAATGTACATTGCCAGCGGCATTTCAGAGCAGCAGCTGCAACACGAAGACTTGCCTCTTAATTCACGAGAAGGATTTGTACAGAATAGCAGTGTAATAATTAAATTACTGACACATATCAGCTGGCTAGGAACTCATACTACCTGTGGCCAAAACAAAATGACAGCATGTGGAGGCTTGCAGTGCAGATCTGGATCCTAGCTATACAGATTTCCTTTTCACACTTCAGCCATTTTTGATGTGTGCGAACAATAACTGGAGTATTCCTCCATTTCGGAAAACTGTGAAAAAACTGTGAAAGATGAAAAAATAAGTACAGAATACATTAAATAAGAAATGAAGACACAGAAGCTATATGGATGTTTTAGTATGCAATGGTTTGGTGGGAGTTTCCATGCTCTGTTCAATGTATCTTTCTCACTCTTTAAACATATGAGCGTTGTATTTTCAATCAGAAGGCTTTTTTCTTTTGCAAATTGTGAAAAGCTTATTGTCTTTGAATTTTCAAAAGTATCCCTGCACACAGAGATAGCTTCCTACCTCAAAACATTTTTTTGAATATGGTGCAATCACTAACAGAAAGGCAACGAGCCATGGTTTAATGAGAATCATATTATTGTCCTCTGTTCATGGTTCCTTTGATGTAACAAAACATTTTCATGCTGTGCTTCATGAAAATAAAATTGCACCATCAAAGTTTCACAAATGTTTTCAATATACAAATTGTTTTAAGGGATGAATTTGCTCCAAAAATCAGCAAAATGTTTTCTTATTATTAGAATGCTGAACCCCCTAGCAAATCACATGCTCACATTTGCAAATCTTTCAAAGCCACACACCAAAACCAGCCTGACATTCATTAATGTTAATGCTGCTGTCAATTAATTAGAACAAAAAACAGGCATTGAAGGAGAAACATCACTTTCAACTTTGGGGATTATCTAATTTAATAATAGAAGGGCAGGAGGATAACATATGATAAATGGGTTTAATTGACTGTATTTGTGTTCACACAACCCATGTGCAACCTTAATAGTTTATCATGTTTCGTGTCCTGTAAAAAGTGGATAATTTATCATTTCTAGTGGATTTACATTCAACCAAAAATCCTAAAATGGTTCAAAATAAAAGATATCAGAAATCTTTCATAGATTGTGGGTGTCATTTAATGCCTTGCTGTCTTCATGAAGTACTGCAGCCCTCGGGGTATATGAACACCCAGAATTCTTTTAGGAAACGAGTTTCAGGACACAGTCACAGTGAAGGTGCAGTAGTACAGTTCCAAGGATGGTGAGTGGTTTGGAGAGAAACTTGTAGGTGTACGTATCTTCTGCCCCTTCCTTGTAGATGGCAAAAGATGTGGGTTTAGAAGGTGCTGTTGAAGGAATCATGATGAGTTGCTACAATGCTGTTATCACTAAGAGGCTGACCCTCAATTTGAGGATGACATCTATTCAAGGTCATGAGTTTCTGCCACAGGTCTTCATGTTGATTCTTAACCGTCATGGCAATAGATGGTGAAGACCATCCCGCAAATTGCATAATTTTCTTCCTTTGCTTTCTTTCTCTGTCACTGTTTTGCCTCATCATTAAGGCTTGATGGAAATGTTGTCACTACTATATACAATTAATAGCAAGATCTCACCAATCATTGATGTCAATGTTGCAACATTTCAAGGAACCTTTCCTAGAATGTTCTCAATGTGAGGAACGAGAAAACAGGACCTGACAGATGGTACTTTTCATCCATTTATGCATTGACTGATCCATTGTAGTCAAATTTGATGACGTTTTACCTGAATAATGGCAGAGATGGCTTCAAGAAGGACATTAGCATTTGTTCGATGGTCCTCCCACTGAATCTGGGGAAGGTGGCAAAGGTATTGCTGATGGAATTTCTTTAACACTATTATGTGTCACTGATACACAGTCCAGGACTCCCTGCAGTAGAGGGGTGTGGTAATGACAATTGCTTTGTGAAATAACTCCACAAAGATGAATATCCTGTCACCAAGTCACCCTTCATTTACACTTGAAGAGTCCTTGACACAGATCCAGCTCCCTCAGAGCCAGCTCTCAGAGTGAACAGGATATCTGACACTCTTGTTTATATCTGTCAGCCAGGGCTCCCTGATTGGACCAGATTAACAGCCCCAATCAAGGGACTCATATTCTATGATATCCACCTGGCTAACCCTGTTACAATCACTGCACTTTGTACACCAGGACTTCTGTTGACTTTGAATTGAATGATTTCCTGTCACTTGTATTTAACAAATAAATACAGAGAAAAGTGTAATAAGTCACCGTACAATGGCACCGTTTTGACAGACAGAAGATAATGAGATATAATTCTGAAATTAAGAACTGAGTCTTAAATATAAATAAAAACAGAGTTCATTTTCCTCCCTTTTTGTGCTCTGCTCAGCATCGGAGGAGGTGCCTCCACAATGGGCTGTGGGTCCACCATTGCCCCAGCATCCCAGTCTATTCCAGGAGTAACATCATCACACACTTGCGGTGTTCTTTGTAGCCAAACACTTCCTGCCATAGGTTGTAGAAAGGTGGGCTGGCACAGCCATTCTCGTATTGGAACTATTCCTCAATTTCTTTGGAAGAGGTGGCTGCCAAAGTGCTGTAAAGTGTTCACAATATTCCAAAGTTGTCCTTCAACACATATGAGAGGTAAAATATTTGACTGTCCAGGTCTGGGTTGATTTTCTTCTATGCAGGATCGAAGGGCTCAAAGGTGACTTGTCAATCTGATGCAAAGATACTTTTGTCAGGTTAATGAATACAATTAAGAATTCCTTGTGTTGTTCCTGACAGTTTTCTTGGATTTATCTGGTGACAAAAGACATGTCACAAATTCCTCTGGATAATCTGAAGGCGCACTGTGTAACTGGGACAATTTTCACAGCCACAGGAATGAGTTGGTTCAGAAGAATCATGTCAGGATTTTCCCTGCTCTGGATAAGAGGAAAACACTTTCAGACTCTTTACAGTTTTTTTTATTCATTCACAGGATGAGGGTAGGTGAGCAATTATTGCCTATCCCTAATTGCCCATAGGACAGTTAAGAGTCAACCACATTGTTGTAGGTCTGGAACAAAAACAAATTTGCTGGAAAAGCTCAGCAGGTCTGGCAGCATCTGTGAAGGAAAAAACAGAGCTGACGTTTCGGGTCTGGTGACCCTTCCTCAGAATTCACTGAGTTCTGAGGAAGGGTCACTGGACCCGAAATGTTAACACCCTTCACAGATGCTGCCAGACCTGCTGAGCTTTTCCAGCAAATTTG